CACTGCTATGATAATTCGTAACCGGAATTGGGTGAAATGGAAAGTTATTGCGTTAACTGGAGATTTTTATATCATAGGTGTTGCGCGTTTTGTTTTGACTTATGGTGAGGTTTAGGAAATTAACCGAAGTGTTGTTGCTTATTTCAATAATTATTTCCATTGTTTTTTTGGCTAGCCAAAAAAGCAGATGAGCTTGTGTAGTCCAATCAAAAAGCGACATGCATCTGATAGAATGCTGAAATACTCGTTCCACGTATTTACGTACATGCGTGAAAAGATTTTTAAACGTTTACTACTCGTGCTTTTTTGTTGTTGGCTGTGGTGTCCTTTTCGCAGCCTAATAAATGTAATGTTTTGACGCGTTTTTGTAGAACTTGTCTAGCTCTTGCTTCGTTATGTTAGTCCACTTTATTACGTTCACCTTTCCAGGGATTGTTTGTTACCTCCCCGCCCCCCCTCACCAGCCGCAGGGCTTATAAGCAAGCCTATATCAGAACCCATCTGTCGTGACAACGAGCTATGAGGTTGAGCAAAATTATCCCTTTTTCTTATCATCGGATCAAAAATTAATTAAGATTAATGCTTGATATCGCTGGTACTGAAAAGGCCTTTCCTTTATTCTCTTCATTCATGTTGATTTACAATGCACTTCTTCAAAAAGGACTGTTTTTGTTCATACTGAACGGCACAAATTTTTGTACATCGGTAGTATGACGCCGATCACTATTGTACTATTTTTCTGCTTGTTTGTTTATGCAGTCAGTTAAATAAATTGGTTAGCTACAGCGTGATGATTGTGACCTTCCACTAGTGGTCTCCAATACTATTTCTAAAAAAAAATTGTATTTTAATATTTTTTTTCTTGTACCATCTAAAGGTTCATCTGTCATCTGTAAGTGCACTGACTACATGACCGGAAGGATTTGTGTCATGAGAGCAGGCGCAGAACGCTTTATCGCTTAAATAAATCTGCTTGAAAAAAGCTCTGGCTGTGTCAATTGACAAGGTAAGCACGTCAGCTTCCGTTAGGGCTGTGAACAAATGTGTTAATTCCGTAAAAAGCATAGTCAGATAGAAGCCTCATAAAGCACGAAGTCTGATGCCAGCCAATCTTTACAAAAATTTCACGATCCGTGTAAAGTCGCTCTTTTTGGTCAAATTGTCTCACTGTTAGCTGGTTAATCATTGTTGATTTGTTCCAATTTGTTCTTTACTGTTTCGGTAATTTCAAACAGAACTAATTTGGTACCATCACTTCCGCTTTACTGTTGCCAAGAAGCCTGTTGTGTCCGCCTGAAATTTGTATCCAGTTCATAGTGGGTTCTGGTAAGCAATTTGTTTTGCTGTTTCTGATATCTCCGATTACAGAACTCAAGCATTGTCTGTTAAAGCAATGATTTTTTGCTGTCAATTTCCTCTTGCTTTTGTTTTTCTCTGTTTTTACAACTACTTTTTTTTTCTTAGGCCAGTTACTCTTACCACTACTCTGCAAACTACTTTTGACCAACCGTTCCCTTGTTTTCTGTAGCTTGGTAGCTTGTTTTCAAAAAATGCAGATGACTAGTAACTACTTCGTAACGTGTCTAGAATACTAATACAAGTTTGACCCTCAAAGGTACTTCCATTAGAGAATTTAAAAAAAGAGTTTTAAATTGTATTTTGAGTAGCATTTTACCATAAAATTCTAAATGGGTAATGGCAAAACAACATTTGCACTTAATAATCAATGATAGGTGTAGAACACCTCCGGCAACACTTACGTCAAATAGTTCGAACAATGTGAAAACGACGAAAATTGAAAACTAGTCATTATAATGACTTTTCAGAGCAATCTCTTCAAATTATTAAGTAACAAAATTTTCAATAAGTTAGGCTTTACTGGACTAACAGAAATGAAGAATTTTGCAACATATTATACGTATTATTGCGCTCAATAATATTTTGATTTAAATAAAAGATCTAGAGAAGATCTAAATAAGAGACTCCTGCAAATCTAAATCAGCCAAATGTTTTTTTATTCCGTTATTGCTAACTGCACCGTTGCTGATTTCACAAAAATTCCATTTTGTAGTTTTTAATATGTTATACAAGAATTATGCGCTCAAAATTTATCTTTCCCAAAAAGCTTAAAAAGCGTTCGGATTACCGTTTTTGCCATTCTATCGTACGCAGCTTGGTACTCTACGCACTCGCCATATTTTCTAATCTCCCAAACGCGACATTTCAAACAAAGTTTAAATACAAAGGTTGTAGGCGAAAAAAAGATAAAGTTGCTAAAAGTAACCATGTTTAACAGCAGGTATGTTTTTTATGCACTTCACTGTGGTATGGCTCTTTAAGTGGACCATTTTGGTCTCGCGATTGGGCGCTGAGGTTCAGAAATTGTAGAACATGGGAAACTCTGGAACGTGAATAAAAGCAGTTTGCCAATTAGCGTGAAATGGCTTGCATATGTACGAATATATAAATATATAAATATAAAGGTAAATAAACAAAAAAAGTAAAGAAGTATAGGTAAGAGTATACATATATATGACATATAGTTGTGCTGTTATTGAGAAATGGAAGTAATAGTAGTTTTTTTCGTAAAGTTGATTGGACACTCTAAAAGAGAAAAAAACGTAATGAAACCTGATATGTGCACAAGTAATTTTGTAGCGCATGTGCAAATTATGAGAAAGATATGTCCAGGAAACTTCTTATTTCAAACATGGTTAATACAAATTTTGTAGTAACAAATCTTCGAGAATTCAAAAATCCAATTCCACTAGCAAAAACTTTAATATACTATCCTCCGGCTCACTTCATTGTGAGAAAAATTTATGCACAACGAGTAATGCAAAATAAGTTACTCCCAGGATTTGTTGAAACTGGAATTAGTGGTAAAGAGCTGGAACGCAGTATAATAAAGAGCTTATTCCACATTTGTACACTGCGAATCACAACTGTGATTTGCCACATGATTATATGGCTGGTTGCAAGTGGAACTTTCCTCAAATATACATGCCCTGTCAACTGTTATCTGTGTTGTGTCCATTATCTGTGCCACTTCAGAAGCTAGAACTCTTCGGTCTGTGTGAGAAAGAAATATCTGAAACAAAAACACAGTAACTTACAAATTACTATCTTTACGTCTCAAAAATTGCTTAAAATTTACTTGCAGGATATTATCGTCTACTGAATCACAGTCGTATAGTTCTTCACCTTCAGAGACTCGCCACGCTACTCGTATGTCAGCCTCCTTACGGGGGATATTAGTTTGATGTAGAAGAACTCCCTCTACTTTAGGAAAATTAATGACCATAAAATACCGGTCTGGAAATTTCGGTGCAAAAAAATCTCTTCTCGAAGCTCCAAGATCCTGTAATGCCTCTAAGGTTTGTAAATCACTTTTAAAATCACAGAAAGAGACCATTTACTAATAAACGTGCTTTACACTGTATTCTAACATCCCGTTGTAATATTTCTCTAAGAACAATAAAACTGTATTTGAAAATTTGTAACCGCTGCTCA